AATTGACCAACCAGATCGATAACCAGAGTACAATACCATCAACTGACGTGATACAACTCACTTTGACTCTGAAGATGACTACTGCACAGGATGTCAAAACGTCAGTCACTGTCAACAACAACAGTCCTATTCAGGACTACGTTCACCCGGACGATCAATCTCAACCTACTTTTGAAATGACTCCTGGGTTCAAACCTTTCACCACTGCAAAAAATATACATCTACTATCCTCCAACCTGCGATCAGGCGTTTTTGTTTGCCCACGGAAGACATATTAAATAGTGGAGCTCTCGATGCGCCCAGCGGAACACCATGAATAAGGAAATTTGGTTATCTATGCATCCAATTTTGTTTCTGACAAAATCGTCCGTTTTTACATACGTCGCTCCCTCATGTTAGCGGTATGTGAATTGTCTTAATGTATATTACAAAGCATATACAAATTGTGTTTAACTTGATATTGGAAATGCATGTTATGATCAATTGACATCTGTCAAAATAGGGCATCCCGCGACAAGTGTCACATGACTGCAATGCGGGCTCGGGTATACAGCTTATTGAGTTGACGTGTTTTTTAAAGTTCTCCGCTGACCAGTTATGGTAATCAAGTGATCACAGAAAGTCTTCAGAAAAACTTTATTTTAGAAAGGTCTCACGAGTGCTTCGCTTTTGGCCTTGGCTAAATCTATTTTTAGTAAAATCCAACTAGTGGTCTATCATCAATGCTGCGTTCTGATTGGTTGAGCTACTACTAGGCTATATGAGCGCGGGCTTTTTGAACACAAAAAGGATTAAAGTCTAGCTTTAACTAGCTAAACGTTTTTTATTCTCGATATTTTTACCAACTAGTTGGATTTTACTAAAACAATTTTTCTCGCCCTCATGGCCTCTGAGTCAATAGTCCATTCGGCCTTCGGCCTCATGTGCATTGACTCAAGAGCCCATTCGCTCGAGGAATAATTGTTAAATATTAAAGATGTAGAAAGGCTATGATCGCAGGCTAACTATCGTCGATGTAGCAGAACAAAATACGAAAATATTGTGAATCCAGTTTTATCGAACATAAGACATAATCAAGACCTTGATTCTTTTAGGAGGAAAAGTCGATAATAATCCTGTACCAGTAGACGGCTTTGATGTATGGGAGACAATTTCTACGGGCAAGCCGTCTCCAAGAACTGAAATTCTCCTGAACATCGACTTAGCACCGAAGGAGAAGCGTTACCGAGGGATGGAGTCTATTCACCCCTATTATCAGGGCGCGGCAATTCGTGTTGCAGATATGAAGCTATTGGTGAGCTGTCCGAATTCCACTTGGTTCAAGCCACCAGAACTTTATAACAAAGAAATGGTTAGTAACTAAAGGTCTTTCATGAATATTTTTGATGAACATAATCTGGATTCCCTACACGAATCGAATCCATAACTTCCCAAACACTGGGTGACCGCTCTATCCACTTAGTTTCGAAGAAATTCATGAAGCCCAAAGCCAATTACTGGGTGCTTACTTTCGAGTTTTTACTGTGTCATGCATAACGAAAGGATCAGCGATGTCGACGGCGTACCTATTTTACGGTCATAAACAGAGAAAAAAGGAAAACGTTATTCTCGTTAAAAAGTAAGAGGCCCTCTAGGTGGTGGTGTGAAGTTTTCGTTGCCATGCACGGGGTGAAAAAAGTTGATATATACAATTGAAACTCTGTTGTTTTGCCTTGAGTTAGGAGACAACGGATGTTACTAAAACGAGGAACGGGGAACGGGGAACGGGGAACGATCACGAGGAACGAAATGAAACATTGAAACAAAACCCTAGCCTTGAACCCCAGCCCTATCAATAACTTCATTTCATATTCTCTGCTTTGTTCCGATTTTTCAATTTCCCCTTCTCCGTGCTCGTTTAGGCCCCGCTCCCCGTTTTAGTAACATCCGGGGTCAACGTACGGTGGCAACTAATCCGTGTATTGCCGTTTTTGTCATTTGTTCTAATGTTGACAAAGGACGGGCACCTTATTACATGAAATTTTCGCGACACGTTAATTTCACGAATTTCGCGATACAAAAAATGGCGAAATTAAAGTGACACGAACAATAAGTGTCGCGCACATAACATGACGCGAAAATTAAGTGACTGACATCATGTCCATAATTAAGAAAGAAAAAGTTTATTACCACTGAAACGTTTACAAGATCACATTTTTTTTATTTTTCTGAGGAATTTTCAGTGTAAATGGATGTTGTAGTCAATTGACTCAAGAACGATAATTCACGTACAAGCATGAAATGCTTGTGGACATAGTGAGAACTGCTTTGTTACTGTTAAGGATATAAGAAATAAATCATAAATGAACTGCGGAAATGAAATGAAAATGAAGAAATGATCTTCGCAGTGAATGCAATTTATGCAATTGCATAAAGAAGCCTGAAAAAAAAAATCAGGACTTCAACGGGGTTTCAACCCGTGACCTCTTGATTACCAATGCGATGCTCTACCAATTGAGCTATGAAGCCACTGACGTTGGGAGCAGGTCAGGTGACTGTTGACACTAGTCTCACTGTTGCATTTTTCTTACTTTTGACGTTATTGTTCCTTTGATAAAGGAATTATATTTAATTCAAGGAGATGTTAAATGACATTGCCTATAAAATGTATATTGTTGTACTCAAAAAATGCGAAATCAAAGTGATTCAAAATATAAAATTTTCAGAAAATCCTGAAATTTAAGTGTCGCGAAATATGCGCACATCTAAATTGCGAAGGTAAACATGTCGCCAAAATTTAATGTAAGTAGTTATCTCTTTTTACCATTTTCAGAATTCTCAAGTGAAAGGTTTTTATTGAAGTTGCTCTTTACAATATCACAGCTGATCCTACAGAACACAATGATTTGAGCCAAAAATTGCCTGACGTCGTCCAAAAATTGCAAGAGAGACTGAGTTTTACAAACGTAGCGCCGTAACCCCTAAACAAGCCCACAGACAGCCAGGCTTGGGATGTTGCGCGGAAGGATAGCATTTGGACGCCTTGGAGAAGCACAGTGGGCGAGAAAGCCTAATAAACATGAGATTTAAGTGAGAATTTGTACGGCATTTGAGGTGTTAAGTATGGGATTGTCTCAGGTTAACAAATACCGTAAAATTCCGAAAATTAGCCTCTCCATGTACAAGCCCCTTTAAATATAAGCCCCCCAAACCGGTAACGCAAAACACCCTCCGTTAAATCGCCCCTCCAAATATAAGTCCTCCGGGGGCTTGCACTTGGAAAATTGCCCTCGAATACAACGTAAAACAAAGCAAAAACGGTAAATTTACTTCCAACTGTAAGGTGGCGATTTTGAAACGCAAATTTCCTCCGTAGATAAGCCCCTGCGAATATAAGTCCCTCCAAAAATAAGCCCCTCAAAAAGGGCCTTTGAAAAACATAAGCCCCGGGGCTTATTTTCGGAATTTTACGGTATTTACTAAAACAGTGGGTATAATATGAGGAAGGGTGAATGTAAATTGGGAAATGTTATCAGGGTTTAAGTAGCTCGAATGAACATTGTGGTGCTTTTTAAATTTGTTCACGCCTTAAACAGGGCGCTTGTTCGAGGGTGGCTTTTATTTGAAAGTTGGGCGCCACAGAAAAGTAGACATAAACACAGAAGAACACTTAATACCAAACAGTGAATTAAGAACACGCAACAGCCATGCTTTTAAGTATAGAATGCCAAGAGTTTGTAAGGACGTCTTTAAGTTTTCCTTTTCTCCTAGATCAATAACAGAGTGGAACACACCGCCCGCTGACTTAGTGAATTGCAAGTCATCATCTTTGTCGTTGTTGTTGCACGACTACGACGTGAAACTTGGCAAACTTCCTAGTTAATACACGTTTTATGGATGAAATGTGTATGTGCTGAAAAAAAAAAGACTTTGTTGCTTTTGTTCCTGTTCGCTTTTATCTTCACTGCCGCTTATTTTCGCCCAGCTGGTCGCTAGCATTTCTCATTTTGAATTTCTCACCACCAATATAAAATTTTCATGTTGTCCTTGTAACGAAATACGTCTCCTTTGTCTTTTATCTCTCGCTTTAGCTCTTTCTCTGTTATCCCCCCTTAGTGTAAACATAATTAAAATTTAGTCGAAAAAGACTCGGCTTTGTTTAATTTTCCTCTCTAAAAGTCCGGATGGTCATGCGATTTACCGCCAAAACGCAAGGGTGATAGGATGAGAGATTTCACAACGACTTACACGTAGGGGCTGACATATGGACGGACGGACGGTCGGACGATCACGTGATTACCAAAATTTCTCGCGTTTATAGCTTACCATATTTTCTTACCCATGGTGCTCCGCTGCGCGTGCTTCGCGCGCGAGAGAGCTCCGCTAAAAAGGATTAAATTATATTTGAAGTATTTGTTTTTTTGCATAAATAAGATTAATGTTGTTTTGTTGTGCTTTTCAAATAAATCCAGCTTGTTCAAGAGCGTCTGTCTTCAGTTTTGCCAGTCGATCCTGTAATATACATTATGAGAAACATAAATTTTTTTGTTAAAATCTGCATTTGTTACCAGGCGTGAAACCCGTAACTTCAAGCCCACTAAGCGAAAGTTGAATACGCTGGTGGTTGTAGATTTCAGATTCATCTCTGCATTCTTGCATGCGTAATAAGCCGTGAACATTTGGTGATTACAGGAATCGGTGCTGAAGCGAACAACAAAAACAGCCAGCATCAGAATAAGTAAAAAGAAGTATTTTCAAAATAAATTGCGTTACCACTTCAAAACAAAAAAGCCAGATTATGCTAGCAGTGCTAAATTAAGATAAAAGCCAAAAGTTACGCTCGGTTTGCTAAATTATGCCAAACATTATGCTTGCACAATCGACAAAACCCTAGACGGCCCCAGAGTAGTTCTGACTGACAAATAGAAAGAGTCACATGGTAGTCACGTGTTCCGAGCTTGAGACCACTTACCGCTGATACATAGATCCAGAGTATTCCATATTTCTGTAATGAACAATCGATGCTTCGCTTTTTCTGGTTTGCTTTCTTTTTTATTGCTGTCGTTTTGGAGACAGCAAATGGCTCCAAGCCTCCTAACATAGTACTGACTGTAATTGATGATCTGGGTTGGAGTGATGTGGGATTTCAAGGATCTGTTATTCATACTCCAAACATCAACAGACTGGCAGCTGAGGGCGTCATTTTG